AGGAGGAGGAGGAGATGGACAATGAAGAGGAGATAGACAATGAGGAAAAGAGAAGGAGAAGGAGGAGAAGATAGATAATGAAGAGAAGGAGAAGGAGATGACAGACAATGGTGAAAAGAGAAGGAGAAGGAGAAAGAAGAGGAGATAGACAATGAGGAGGAGATAGACAATGAAAAGAGAAGGAGAAGGAGGAGAAGATAGATAATGAAGAGAAGGAGATGACAAACAATGGTGAAAAGAGAAGGAGAAGGAGAAAGAAGAGTAGATAGACAATGAGGAGGAGGAGATAGACAATGAGGAAAAGAGGAGGAGAAGATAGACAATGAAGAAGAGAAGGAGGAGATGACAGACAATGAGGAGGAGAAGGAGAAGATGATAGAATGAGGAAAAGAGAAGGAGAAGGGAAAGGAGAAGAAGGAGAATATAGACAATGAGAAGGAGGAGGAGGAGGAGGAGGAGGAGGAGGAGGAGGATTGTCCTATATGTTGTCAAGCTATTGTAAGTCTTCTTTTGGCCAAGAACCAGAACACAGACCCATTGAAACCAATTAAACACTGATGTACTTCAACACGTAAGGGAAAACACCCATTGGCATAATCCAAACATAATTGAATTTATTCTCCTGACATAAGATACGAAAAGGAAAATAGCCGTTGTATCTTGGAGGAGGAGGAGGAGGAGGAGGAGGAGGAGGAGGAGACCAATCATTGATGCTGGTTGAGTAGATAAACAACTCCGCCATCTTTTAACCTGGTTAGGTGATGAGGATGAAAGGAGCGTTTTGCTATTCCATTCTTTATTCTATTCCATTCTATTCTATTCTATTCCATTCCATTCCATTCCATTCCATTCCATTCCATGTGATCAAATTCTTTTGGCCGTTTCTTTTGGCTTACGGTACTTACGTGTCCAGAAATCTCCGACTGAGGTCCAAGATGAGAAACGAAGGACCTTTGGGAAATGGAGGGTCCCGGGACACTTTGTACTGGATGGGCCGGCATTTTTTACACTGTGAGCTCTGTGGGACCGAAGTGATCATAGCAGCGTCGATCTCCAGTTGTTCGTCCAAGGTGTAAATCTGTATGCCTCGGACCTCCTCCTTCATCTTCTCCGTATCCAGTCTGATGGTCATGGGGATGTCGCAGAAGAAGTTCTGAGGTCCAAGCGAGATGTTTTCTCCTCCGACCATCAGCAGTTTGATGTCATTTATGGCTTCTTTGGAGTCCCACTCGGGGGAAACATAAGTCACCCAGATGGTCAGAGATTCTGGGATGACCGGATATTGGAACTGAAGCTGAAGGTAGCATCCTTGAGGTTCAGGGCAAGCTGGTGGGACCGTTTGCTTGATGACCGCTGAATTGGGAGTCCACGTTCTTACATCGGGTTTACACGGCTGTTCCACATCTGGGTGCCCTTGAATACAAGAGAAGAAAAAGGCAGAATGGAATCAAACTTGCATTCAACGTACCCAAAACTTGGAACGCCCAAGATTCTCTAGGACCTTGCTCCAACAATCCATATAAATGAATGTAAACTACCTTCATTTTCTAGGACGGGGATCTTCAGCCTTGGCAACTTCAAGAATTGTGGACTTCAACTCCCAGAATTCTTCAGCCAGGGACGCTGGCTGAGGAATTCTGGGAATTGAAGTCCACAAGTCATAAAAGGGCCAAGTTGGAAGACCCCTGCTCTAAACTAAGGGCTTTTATGCTTGGAATGTTTTTACTTGTGAGGGAAGCCATTGTAAAAACACACTAAACCCCCTGATGGATTAGGGCAGGGGTCTTCAAACTTGGTCAATCTTGGCAACTTCAAGACTTGCCTGACAGTGAGAACAATCTTGCCTTCAGAAGTTGTGGGTGCTCCATCACTGGAGGCTTTCGAGAAGAAACGGGACAGCCATTTGTCTGAAATAGTTGAGGGTCTCCTGCTTGAGCAGGGGGTTGGACTAGAAGATCTCCAAGGTCCCTTCCGACTCTATTTTGTATTCTTATTCTTATTTTCAGGGGTGTTATAGAAAATGGGCAGAAAAGTATATGTCACCCTCTGAAGTGCAAGGCATTACTCCGTCAGACCCAGTTAACCTACCCTCCTTTTTCTCAACAATTTTGCCCAACAAGCTCCAAAACTCAACGAAAAAAACAAAAACAGAAGCACAGAGATTTTCTTTTTTTAAAAAAAAAAAGCTGGACAAGGTCACAAAGGATGGCAACTGGGGCTGATAAAAGCAGAGGGGAAAAATGAAACAGATGCCGGAAGAATTATACAAGCCAGAAGAGCAGCAGTAGACTATCTCAGTTGCAAACCGTGCAAGGTTGAGTAAGGAGAAAGAGGAGCTGGTTTTTGCACCCCTCCAGAAGAAGCAGAATGAGCAAACATCCTCCTATTTCTTATTATTTTATTTTATTTTATTTAAAAAAAAGGCAGGTCTTGATTACTAACACTGCCGAGGAGGAGGAGGAGGAGGAGGAGGAGGGGAAAAAACCCGGGCTCGACACTTAATTATAAATTTGTTACTCATCCTTCACTGCTTTTCCCCTTGATTGCCTTCTTTGTTTGCTTTCTCTCCCCGAAATTCGTCATCCTTCCTAGATATTAATCATGCTGTCTGAGGAGGCTTCCAACCTTTATCTGTGCAGGAGCTGTTAGCCTGTGTGTTAAGCGCCTTCGCAAAGCCCGCAATGCCTCCCTTTCTCCGTCCCACCCTTGTCCGGTGTGTAAGTAACTTTGAGGCTCACCTTCAGCTCCACGGGGGCTCCAGTGGCCTGACGGATCGCAGGGCATCGGAGAAGAGGCACTGGAAGCGTATTGGATCAGAACCCGTCCTTCCCCGCAGAGCTCACACGAGGATCCCACTTCTCTAGGTGGCCAGGAAGAAAGAAGAGGAAATGCTCCAACTTAGTAACAGTTGAAAAGAAGATTCGTTCATTCGTTCGTTCGTTCATTCATTCATTCGTTCATTCATTCACTCTCTCTCCCTCTCATCCTTTTTTCTTTCCTTCCTTCCTTCCTTCTTTCCTTCCTTCCTTCTTCCCCCTCCTTCCTTCCTCCCTCCCTTTCTCTCCTTCCTCTCTTCCTCTCTCTTCCCTCCTTCCCTCCCCTCCTTCTTTCCTTCCTTCCTTCCTGCCTCCCGCCCCCTTCTCCATTCCTCTCTCCCTTTCTCTCCTACCTCTCCTTCTCTTTCTCCTTCCTTCCTCCCTCCCTCCCTCCCTTCCTCTCCTTCCTCTCTTCCTTTGTCCTTCCTCCCTCCTTCTTCCCTCCCTTCCTTCTTCCCTCTTCTTTCCTTCCTTCTTTCCTTCCTCCCTCTCCTTCCTCTCTTCCTTTCTCCTCCCTCCCTTTCTTCTTCCCTCTTCTTTCTTTCTTTCTTTCTTTCCTTCCTTCCTTCCCTCCCTCCCTCCCTCCCTTCCTTCTGTCCATCTTGGTGTTTCCATGGTTTACTTAATTATGATTTATTGAGATTTGGGATACTGTACAATAAGCTACAATCCTCGGCCCACTATTCACACAGTACGTTGACCTCAACCCCCACCAATGTTATTACAACGAACCCCATCTCTAGCTGGGTCTGCCTCTTGGGTCCCAATCACCAACACGCCTCCCCCCTCCCCAAATTTCCTGGCAAGTGTATGGAGGTTGAATTATACTCCATATGGACTATGACTAAAGGCAACAAACCAATTTCTCAGCCGAGAAAGTAGCTTTAAAAAAACAAAAAAAAAAAACCCAACAACAAAAGCATTCCTGGGTGAAGAATGGATTTGGGGCCGTTGAATGAATCACCTTCTAAGTCCGGGCCCATCTTGCTGATAATCAGCTTCAGAGACAAAACATTTCTTTTGCTGCTCAGGTTTCCACCTCCCTCTCCCTTAGAGAGATGGAAATCAGGACTGACAAATTAAAGCCCTGTCAAAAAGCCTCTTGCCCAACCCTCTCCTTGAATCAGAAATTCTGTAATCTGCAAGCTATTTTCTTGGAAGAAAGGAGGAGGAGAAGAGAGGGATCAAGAGGGGATAAATATGAATGTCGCTGCCCTGTTGGAAAGCACCCTGGGGTGATGCACCCCAAGTTGTTGCTGTTGCAGTTTTAAATCTCCAGGGGGGACTGTTGATTGAAGGACTAGGGGTGACATGAAAGCAAAGTCTTCCAATATCAGCCACAAAGAAGAGGAGGGGGGTCCACCTATTCTCCAAGGAGCCTGAAGGCAGGACAAGAAGCAACGGATGGAAACTAACCAAGGAGAGAAGCAACCTAGAACTAAGGAGAAACTTCCTGACAGTGAGAACAATTAACCAGTGGAACAACCTGCCTCCAGAAGTTGTGAGTGCTCCAACACTGGAAGTTTTTAAGAAGAGACTGGACAGCCATTTGTCTGAAATGGTTTATAAGGTTTCCTGCCTGAGCAGGGGGTTGGACTAGAAGACCTCCAAGGTACCTTCCAACTCTTCTGTTATTCTGAATGCTCAAACCACCTTACCCAACTGCATCACCCTGATTCCAGACTGAATATAACACTGTTGTAAAATACCTGGTGTGGGGAATAACAAGATTAAAAAGCGTGCTTTGATGCAGTCAAGAAATGAGCGGACTTTCCCCCTTCCTGATCCAATCCATATTCTTCCAAGCTTCCTAAGTTTCTTTTCTTCGGCATTCAAAGCTAACAAAACAGCCGTTGTTGCAAAAGGCAGAGGGTGCATCTTCCCAAGCCTGATAGAGCAGCATTAGCCTTTGCTTCTAAATAAAAGCATTTATTAGTAGCTTGATTTAGATGATGCAATTAGCTAATTTTAGACCTCGGTCCTCTTTAGAGGCTTGTGTGGATTAGCTCACTTCTTGTGATGGGATGGGAAAACTGGTTCGTTGGCATCTGGGGGCTCCTTTCCCATATATCTCCCTCAAGTTTTACTTAACAACACTTTCAAATCCATCCATCCAAATAGAGCTGGAAGGGTACCTTGGAGGTCTTCTAGTCCAACCCCCTGCTCAGGCAGGAGACCCTAGACAATTGGAGACAAGTGGCTGTCCAGTCTCTTCTTAAAAACCTCCATTGTTGGACCACCCACAACTTCTGAAGGGAAGCTGTTCCACAGGTTAATTGTCCTCACTGTTAGGA